CAGCAGGTTCATTTGCATTAAAAATTGCTGTTAGAAGTAGGACACTGAGGCAGCTCTAGCATTTTGATCTCTTGGCCTTTGTCATGGAGATTCCTAGTAGTGAAGAGAGTAAGGCCAGTGTCCCAGATAATGATTAACTGTTTTAATGGCATTCATTCATTCATTCCACACTAACTACTCATGCAGAAAAAAGGGTTATGTAAAATGACATTAGAAGAAAATCATTTGTAATCGTTGCATCGGGCTGCACTTTGAGGAGACATTAGGAGTAAATCCGTGGCGTGGTAGGCTTATGCTTTATCTTCTGATATTTACTGAGTTTACTGGTGCATGAAAACCTTTCAGCAAGAATAGCAGATAGGATGGACCTTTCATAGGTAATGCTATCTACCAGGTTATTACCTCTATATATTGATAGTAAAGTAATCTCTAAGATATCACCTTACAAATATAGATTATTTAAATGTCTGTAACCAAGAGAAAAAAAAAGACTTGCTTTCATAAATAGTTCATTTGATATCCAGTGGGTCAAAAATCTTTAGATAAATTTTTTACTTTTTAAAAAACTTCTATAAAACTGCATTCATTCTCTTGCTTTTAACTTTTGTTAGCAGTAGGCACATACGACAAAACCCTGAACTTGGAGCTAATCAGTTGACACATTTTACTTTAAATTGGACCTTTACTATTAATTAAAAATGAAGACATGCACCAAGCAGAAGTATTGAGTCACAAATGTATATTTCTAACACTTTAAGTGACATAAAGATGTTGTTAGCTCATAGTATAAAAACTTATCTGCTAGAAATCATTATTGAGTTTTCAGTACTGTATTCTAATACAGAAATGTTCTCTAATTAGGTAAGATCTAGGCTGATTTCATTCCTATTACTCCAAGTACATGATAGTTTAGTAAAATTAAAGTGTGTAGATAGCATTTGTCATGTCATTTACTAATTAATTATTGGGAAACAGTTTAGAATTTCATAATACAATGTAAATACTATTGCTGTTTTTATTAGTAATAATGAAGGTTTTTAACTAGTGACACTATTTAGATGGATGAACACCCACGTTTGCCTTTCCTCCAAGGCATAAATGAACAATGGGGCTATATTTGATCTTACATTCAAAATAAAATAGCAAGTGTCAGCATGAACCGTTGTTTCAGACTCTTCATTAAGAAGGATCTCTTTATCCTTGGGACCATAAGGCTGAGTTCCTATTCTCTTTGCATTACTTCCTGATTTTTGCAAGAATATATACCACACTCAATGTGAAGTAGAAGAGACACTAAGGAAGCTCTGTTACATTCACTTCTTATCAAAGCATTATTTTTTTTATTACTTTTAATGGCATAAAAATTAATAGTGTCCCAGTGTATCTATATTTTATTAACAGTAGCTAGAATGTATTGGGTGTTTACTATGGGCTATGATCTTTGCATGTTTTACCTCGTTATTCATTCATTAATACTGTATTTACTGTATGAGCTCTTACTATTTGCCTGGCCCTGTTCTGGAAGCTAGGGTACAATAGTGAACAAAAGCAGGCAGAAATCCTGACCCTCACAGAACTTGCCTTCTCTTTGCCCACTAGTTGGGGTAGGAGGAGAGTAGATAAAATCAGTAAAATATTTCATATTTCAGATATGACAAGTATCATTGAACTTTTTGGATTAGGGAAATTGTTGGGTGGGTAGTTTTCAAAGGGGCGTAGGGAGATAGGGCATGCCAGTTGGAGCTAGCAGTTTTAAATAGGGTAGTTAGAAAGACCTCACGAACAAATGATTGTTGAGCTGAGTCTGGCAGGTGAAACAGTATACCATGTTATGTGTGAGAGAAGAGCAACCAGGCAGAGGGCAGAACTAGTGCCAAACTATAAGGTAGAAGTTTTTCTGGAATGTTCAGTTAGCAATGAAAAGGCTAGTGGGATATGGAGATATGCTCCAAGACCTGTAACAAGGTGAGACAAATGAGTAAAGCAACTTATAGGCCATTTTAAGGTTCTTGGCTTTTTGCTGAGAGAAGAAACTGTTAGAGGATTTGCAGTAAGGGGTAATATGCTCTGGTTTATGTATGGAAGGATCATCCTACATTGAGAACAGGCTGCAGAGGGGCAGGGATAGAAGCAGAAACACTGGTTGTGAGGCTCTTATAATCCTCTAAATGAGAAGTAAATAGCCAGACCTGCATAGCAGTGATGCAATGGATGAAAGGAGGGTATATCTTACAGAGCCAATAAGCATGACTGATGTATGATATGAAGTATGTGTGAGAAACAAGTCAAGATTGTTGATTTTTGGACTAAGCAACTGGAAGCAGAGTTGCTGATAATAAAATGGGAAAGATAATGGGAGGTGCATACTTGAGGGGCAGGCTTTGGTTTTAATTTCAAATTTGAGTTCCCACACATTAGACAGTCTAGTAGAGATACAAGAGTTGAGAGATAATTCCTACTAAAGGATAAATACATTAGAACTGCCTGTTACTGCTTTAGACTAAGAATAAAATAATTCATAAAAGTTTTATTTCATGTCTTCAATCAGTAGCAGAGATTTTCAGTGTCTATTTTATACATCCTTATTGGCTACATAACTACTTTCCACTCTTTAGAATTTTAAAGTCTTTAACTTCTGCTCATTTACTACCTATTTATTTATTGAGCACTTACTGTGTTCTAGGTCTGGGTCAGCAAACTTGTTCTGTAAAATGCCAGATGGTAAATGTTTTAGCTTGGTAAGCCATATGCTCTTTGTCGCAACTCTAGCCTTGAAGCATGAAAGCAGCTCTAGATAATCCATAAACTAATATATGTGGCTATCTTCCAATAAATTTTTATTTATAGACACTGAAATTTGAATTTCACATAATTTTTATGGATTGCAAATATTCTTCTTACTTTTGGCCATTTAAAAATGTAAAAACAATTCTGAGTTTGTGGGCCGTGCAACAACCAGAATAGGCCAGATTTGGCCTGTGTACTATAATTTGCTAATCCCTGTTCCACATTCTGGACAAAGGGAAATGCAGTGGACTAAACAAAAATTTCCACCCCTATGCATCCTACATTATGTAACAAGGCAGCAAATAAGCAGTAATCAGTAACTTCTTCAGTACACTGAAAGGTGATAGACAGTGCTATTAAAAAAAAATCAGAAATAGAGTATGGAAAGGGAGGATCTGGAGTTCTGGAATGAAACAAGTGTCAGTATTAAAGATAACCTTTGCTCTGAGAGGTCATAGAAATGAACCTCTAGACAATTGCATAGTAATTTTACTTTCCTTTTGTCCTGTACATTTAAGGAAAAGCCAGAAGTACCATAGCAGTATAGGCAGTCCTTCTTTTGGGGCAGCTTCTACTTGTGTCCATATCATACCAATCAAGTCAGCTTCCAGTGACTACATATCCCTGTTGGTACACTTCTCTATGAGCTCTCTCATCAGTACTTCTTGGTCGATCTTGACCTTTTACATAGGATTCAGGTCAATGGAATGTCTTATTCCAGGGTTATAAACATAGCATATTTTTCTTCTCATTAATGAATCTAGAAATCTTACCTCAAGGTAAATTATGTCATGTATTTGTATAAACATAGGTAGAGCTATTTATAAACAAGTAAGTGTCCTTTTTAGAGAGTTTATTATTTGAGTGTGGATTATTCTTTTTATTATTAGTTATAGTCTCTGCTCACAAGTTACTGTTTTCCTTGAGTTTTCCATTTAAGGAAACAAGATAGAAAACTTGGAAGATTTTCATTTACTGTTCATTGTTTTCCTATGGCAAGAAACCTCCCCACAAACCACCTGTTTGCAACATCAAACAAAATTAATTGGCAATGAGCTCTGTTTCCAGATTCCAGTAATGAACATAAGAAAACTTACCCAAGCTCATGCCCATCCCTACCTCTTTTCCTCCAGTCTCTAAAACAAACAGAGCAAGGATTAAGTTTCCCTCCTTTTGGTTAAACTCAGCACTTCCTCAGAGGTCTTGCTCTGCTCACTGTCTCCTACATCCTGTCTGTTTTCATCTTCTCCATCACTTCTAGCTTTCTTACATGCTCAGGTCTCTCCTGTCCAGAAAACAAACTCCACCAAATCTTCCTCCTAAGAATGGCCAATCTTAATCTATCCCTTCTTATTCATGCTTCCCAAAATAATATAGAACTACTGTTCTCCTTTCTTCAATGTATGTTCAGTTTTTTAACATTTCTTATTGGGCAGTGTAATATACATACTGAAAAACGGATTAAATATGTGTATAATTTAATTAATTAGTTATATGACACATACCCAGCTAAGCACTTCCATCCAGCAAAAAATAGGAAATTGCACCTACTGTGAAACTATGTGCTGTTCCTTCCCTGTTAGAAGTAAATACCATCCTGGCTTTCCTGAGTAATCAGTTCTTTTTATCTTTTTTTTTTTTTTTTTTTTTAGTTCTTTATATCTTTTTATCATTGTGTGCATCCCTTCAGTCTTTACACTACTACATTCTACTTTTTCTACCCTCAGACTAATTTTAAATCTTTCAATATATTTATGAACACTTGCACTTGAAATGTATGTTTTGGGGCTAGGGATATAGCTCAGCAGCACAGCGCCTGCCTGGCAAGTGCGAGGCCCTAAGTTCAATTCCCAGTACCAAAAAAAAAAAAGAAGTGTGTGTTTCTCAGCATTGATGTTATTACACCTCTCTGCTGTGCTCAGCCTTATAGATCAGCTTATCCTTCCTGATTTCTAGTTTTAAGGGCTGTACCTGTGTTTTCCTACATCTCTGTACCCTTGAGCCCTTCTTCCTCTGTTCCTTTCACACTCTCCTCTGCCTGCCCATTAAATGTTCCTGTCTCCAAGATTCTATTCTTTTTTCACTGCCACTCCTCACTAGACTCTAACAAGCAGTATTTCAAAGCGATCCCCTACATAAAAAGAGCTTTTAAAGGAAAAGATTTGAACTTTCTTCTAACATTTGTTAAACCTTCACAAATATTTATGTTGCAGACCAAACCTGGACCACCCAAAAAGCCGAACACCCCTTCTGGACAATCAGCCTTAGTGTATTGCTACAACTGTGCACAGAAAGGCCATTATGGACATGTAAGTTTGAGTAATATCTGGGCATTAAGCATTGTATTGCCAGGGAGTGGTTGCTGAAAGATGAACTCAAGACGAATATAATACTGAATGCTTACTTGTTTACAAACTAGCCTTCAGAGGTAGACTTAATGTATTTCCAGCTAATTTGCTTCTCTTGTCCCTGCCATTGTGAGAGTCTACCAGAACATATTTCTCTAATCATTTTAAATGTACATGGAGGGGCTGGGGATTTAGCTCAACAGTACAGCGCCTGCCTGGCAAGCGCAAGGTCATGAGTTTGATTCCTGGTACTGGAGAAAAACCAAACAAAAAAATGTACATGGAAATGAATACAGCTCATAAAGCCAATCAGACAAATAATAGTCAACAATATGGTAGTAGTTCTCTTTGAGTTCTTATACCTACTGTTATTTTCGCACAGCTACATTATGTTTTAAATATTCTATTTAGCTCTCCAGTTTTCCCTAGTGTTGTGATCAGTTAAATCTTTGTCAGTCACTTGCAATCCCTAACACACAATCATGGTAAGACAGAGATGGAGGTGGGCATTAGTCCCCTGGCCAGTTGCCACGTTAAGCGTGAAACAGCGGCAGCTCATCCCAGAGACAACATGCAATAAGAAGAGACTCAGAGCCTGTATGTGCTGGGAATCTGGAAGGGGCGGAAAAAAGGACAGTGGCACAGGAAGTAGAAAATCCATATAGAGTGATGTATTCCTATTCACCAGATAGGCATCTCACAGCCTGGAAACTAAGGTAAACTAATAGCAGATCAAATGGCAGGAGGGAGGAAGCGTACAGGAATTTAGGAGCCCTCAAAGTGGGTAGAGGGATGAGCAATAGAATGGAGGCTCCTCTTGAAATCTAGCCATGGCACTTATTGTATAGATCCTGAGAGCACTGTATCATAGGGAGAGGAAAAGATTGGGAGAAGAAAAAGTGCTAGACAGAGTCCAGTAATGGATCATTTATGTTCCATATTGAGGTAGCAGAAATGGTAGGGGAGGTGGGTAGAATTTGAAAACTAGGTTAAAGCTTTGGTCCTCAGTTCTAATTTTTGCTCTGCTACCAATTAACCAGGTAATTTGAACGGCATTTTTCTTCTTGTCCTCAGTCTTTATCTCCAGAACAAAGAGGATGTACAGGGAATCTCTTGGCACTGACATTTGGATGCTGTTTCCCATGTGATCAGACTTATCTTACGGTGATACAGCTCCTACAGTATACTTACTTCCTATTCTCTAGAACTCACATTGAAAACCTTATTAGAGAAGATTTCTTTTATAAAATTATCACTCTAGATCTTTACTGCTCTGTGCATTTGCCCTTGTTAGCATATTCAGAGAAGATGTTCGCATAAGTGATCCACTGCCACATAAGTCACATAGATGTCAGTGGATGCCTATTTTCTTACTTTCAAGCAAAAAGGTGTAATTTTAGGATTTATGTTTGTTCAATTAAAGAAAACAATTATAGTTGGGTACTTACTGCTTACCAGTCTTTTCTGCTAGTATAGATAGGAAATATATTAAAAGTATTTGGAATTTATCCCCAAAATCTAGATTTAGATTATTTTAAATTTATAATAAAGCAAATTTGGCAGCCTCATAACTGCCATAGATGAAGAACTCTAAATTTTCCAGCACTAATGAAGAAGATCAGTGGTGTGGCTAATCCAGAATAGTAGATAAATTATGTAGCCAACTATCAATTGTCTGTGCTAATGGAGGGGACCAGTGATGTGGATAATCAAAATATGATTTACATTTAACTTTGGAAAGCATTTGTAGTACTGGATAGCTCTGTGTAGTCGTATCAGGCTAGACTATGCAGGACCCACGTAGGAGAGTATGCACTGCAGACAGTTAAAGATTTCTGAAGACCCCTCCTCTTCAGCTTGAGAAATTCAGCCCTATAAATGTTGTTACTGAATAGATTCTTCATGTGAAAGAGGACATTTCACTTCCCTACTTTCATTCATTCTCTACTTAGGGAGGCAAGAACAGTAGTTACTATATAAAATGACTACTCAAAAAGCTGTGAAAAAGGGTGATGAGGACTGGGACAGATAAAAGGTTCTGTTTACAGAGGTATTAAATGAGTACATCAAGATTTCTAGTAATCATAATTTGATCCTATGTTGTATGACTAGAACTCTTAGTAGAGATAAAATGTATCTGTTAGTAGAGATAAGATTGTTCTGTACCCCACCATTGCAGTATACTAGAGTATTCTAAATATACTACTTGGGCCAGTGACTTGTGTGCTTTTATGTGGCTTGTGTTCTTAATTAACAGCCTTTCATTTTTGTTATGGTTAGAATCTTAGACCCACATCTTTTGTGGTTATCTTTTCTCCTGAGATTGGGAACTTGGAACCAGTATAGATAAGGGTTTATGGAAAAAATGTTTCATGTTACCATGTAAGTTTGCCTTACAACTTGCAAGCTCCAAAAAGCCACAACAGTAAAAATGGCAGAAGGAAGGAATAAAGATAAGAAATAAAATTAATGATATGGAAAACTAAATAGTATCAACAAAAACAAAAGCTGGCTCTTAAAAACTCCTTGAGGGGAAAAATGGAAATCTGTTAATGTAAAATGTTTGATTTAATGTGAGGTAAATACAGATTTCTATTTACTTTCTTAAGTGTGTATTTAGAATGACTTAACTACTTAACTTAAAGCTATAAACTAAGTGCATAAAATGTATTGCTACCAACTTGGTCGGATATCTTAGAAGTACAAGTCCAATATATAATGTCAAAGGTATGAAGAGTCAGCTAAATTCTACGTGGATATTTCACTTGTTTTCTAAAAGTTTTTTTAATTTTTCTTCAATACTTAGCTAAGAAATGTTAACATTTGTAAATAAGTTTTAGGCAGGATAGGTAGAAAACAAAATTTTCAGAGGGAACCCTCCTTCAAAGAACATGTTCCTCCTTTAAAGAAAGTATGTTTCAGACATGCTGAAGAATTATATGTCACAGTTCATGATAAATAGAACCCTATTCTATGGGGAATGGTTCAGGCCACAGGTATATATTTGGAAATACCCACAGTGGGAGGGCCAGAGTCATGGGGAGCTCCCCTAGGGAAGTAGGTAAGAAGAATGACTTCAACTTGGGTGGGGAAACAAGAAGGGAAGAGATTTCCTTCCGAGTATCTCAAAATTACCTGGGAACATTTTCAAAGTAGACATAACCCAGCACCACTCTACTCCATACCATAAGAATTACAGCCCTAATAAGTAGTCAATGTTGAGTTGAAATAAGCTTGCAAACCACTTGTATCTAGAGAAAAAAAGACCAAAGGGCTAAAAATTTACACTCACATTTTGGGGATGGGAAGAAGAAAAAGAAAAATACTTGATGGAAAGCTATTGGAAGAAACACAGAAAAGGACAAATATTAGCATCAGGGTAAATAAAATAAACCCTCTAACAGAGGACAGTGCAAGTGTGATTGGCACTATCCCTCAGTAGTGTTAATTCAGACTGAGAGAGGGGTTTGGCAGGGACAATTAAAAAAAAGATAGGAAGAATTTCATAGGTATAGAAATAAGATGAAAACTCAAGCCTGCCGGGTATGGTGGTGCATGCCTGTAATCCCAGCATTCAGGAGGCTGAGGCAGGAGGATCACTGTGAGTTTGAGGCTAGCCTGAGCTACATAGTGAGTTCAAGGCCAGCCTGAACTACGTTAACAGTCCCTGTCTCAAAAAGGAAGAAAACCCACGCCTGAAAGTGTAGCACATAAGCACACTGAAGTTGTTGGGCTGCATGAACCCTCACTGCATCCAGCAAGGTCCACATCCAGCAGCCACAGCACGAGGCACCAGTGATGCTGGACTCATATCTAATTAACATGGTCTAGAAACTCACAAAAAGGTTTTCTGAACAATGCAACCTTGTGACGTCATAATGTCAAATACAATTTGTAGGAATGTACAGAAAGGCGAATGTTTAACCAGACATTTCCAACATCTCCGTTTATCTACTACTATGATGACAAATATGAAATTCGAGAGAGAGATCAGAGAATAAAACGAAAAGTAAAAGGTATGTTACTAGAATTCTTGTTAGTTAAAGCACCTTTGCAGTAGTTTCTATCTTCCCTTTTTCTTGCACTGTTCTTACCTGTTTTTGAGTCATTGTTTAGCACAGAAAACATTTCTTAATTACCATAGAAACCAGAAGTTTCTTGATCTGCAAAAACCAAGCACCTACTTCAGAAATCTGTTGTAATCTATTCACTATAAACATAGTGAACGTTTCAGAAAAATACTGCTATTCATCTGTGCATGTAGAGCTTTAAAGATTGCTTTGAGGTTTTGTTTGACACTTAATTATTTTTTCTCTGTATATGTCTAACATTTTTCATGGAAAGAAAGGCTTTCCTGCAGGGTGGCTCCTGGGGCTTCCCTAAGAAACCAGCTCTTATTGGCCACCACTGCAAGCAAGACAACAGCTCTGCAGCCACCTTTGTGATTTCAGTGCATACCATCCCAACATGAAGTTCTTTCTCACCAAAATAATATCTTATTGCTTGAGTGTATTTTCTCTGTTCTTTCTTGCTGTATACTTCAAGATGATTTTTCAAGTTGCCTTTCTTGTTTCAGGACAAAATTTGTTGTATATTTTTCAAGTCATTATATCCACCGTCTTCTGACTCTTTTAAGCTTTTTGTTATTCTTCTTTGGACTCTGACCTTTCTGTTACTCTTTTTTGGACTCTCTCAGTATTCGGGTTCTTTTCAAAATGAATGTACTAATTCTGAGGGGAATAGAGGAATTACTTCTCACAGCTCCTGTATCATTTATGTATTATATTTAATATAGAATTTATCTCAACTATAGAGAAATTATAGTACATGAAGATAATGATTAAGCAACTAAAATAGAGATTAAAAGAAATGTGTGAAATGCCATCTCTTAATTAAAGGACTATGGGTCCCTTCAATTTTATTTTCTTTATACTGTTGTTTTTTTGTTTTGTTTTGTTTTTTTCAAATTTTCTGTAATAAGCATTTATAAGTCTTCTTATCCATTATCCAAGAAAAACATTTTTCTTCCTTTTTAGCTAGTTGAATTGATAGCTCTGTAGACCAGATCCATTTTGAGGTGCACTGTAATTTATTGGCATTTTAATTTTATACTAAAATTCCTACGTTAAAATTGTATTGGACACTTTAATCATACAAGGTTCTGTTGATATATTTCATTTTCATCCCTTACTGTACCCTTATCTCCCACCTACCATCAGATACTCTTAGTGTGTCAAATCTTGACAAAATATAACAGCCTTTAGCACTGCAACCTCTTAGAGTAAACGCACATGAACACTCGCCAAGCCTCTACTCTGGAGGAATAGAGGTTTGGCATCTCCCTGTCAGTGCTGTAGCCAGACTTTTATCATCAGAGGGTAATTGAAATGTCATAAGAGACTGTCAAAAGGACACTTCATATATCTCCTTTCCCCTTATCTTCAGGGGCTTTTTATCACTGGAGAACTTGACTTGGTCAGACATGACTTTTCTTCACAAAGCTAAGATGATTACTGTTCTTACTGGGCTTTGTCTCCATTGTTTAATGTAGTTAACTGTGACGAATAGAATAAATATCATTGGATTGTAGATACTTTCCCTTTTCAGCAATCAGGAATGTAGAGCCATTCAATTTTCAATGAGTGATTTTTTTTTTTTAATCTGAGTAAGGTTTCTTTAGAGTGTCATATTGTTACGATGTTAAATATCTTGCCCTTCTGCTAAGTTATTTACAGATCTGTGAAAACCCTGCATGAACTGTCTAGCCACTGAATATGCAAAAACTACTTTTATATTTTCCAGAACTCCAGAAAAATGGGGATTTTCCAAGGCAGTTCAAGAGACCACATGTAGAAGCAGCAGATAAGAGACCCCACCATGACATGAGGAAAAGCCATAAAAACAGCAGGTGGCATCAAGAGGATAAAGAAACTCAGCGAAAAATAATGAGCAGGAATAGAGACCCAGAGAAGCACAGGAAGGTTGACAGGCATTGGGAAATGAATGAGGACTTTCCTAGGGGCCCAAAAACTCACGCTTCTCCCAGCAGTTTTAAATCCCAGAAGCCCCACAAGTCCTTTCATCACTCATCACATCACCACAAGCCAAGAGAGGACAAGCTTTCCAGAGACAGCAAGCGGAACAAGCAGAAGAAGAAGGGGAGATATGTGGAAGATGATGGCAATGATAATTTATTTCTTATTAAGCAAAGGAAAAAAAAATCTAAGTTGTGATACGGCTGCTGAGTTGGCTTCATGTCTACAACATTCTACCAATATTTTTATTAGCTGTAATTAAAGAAAGGGACTTTTTTTGTTTTGATTGTTTAATTTCAGCCATACTTAGAGTTACTGAACAAAGGTCAGAGAGATCTGAATTCTCTACATCCTACAGGTAATTAAGTAGAAAACAGAAAGATAAACATGGACCTTCTGTTGTAATACCCTTTTTACTCAGAATCTTTGGGATAGAAAGAAAAAACAGACTTTTCAAGAAAACTTTTTAAAAATACTTGAAAAAATAAAAGTTCATAAATGCAGTACATCTGCAGCATGGATGAAAATTAAATCTTTGTAGGAGGAGAAATTATTACTAATAAGAATGCATCACTCAGCATTACTTTGTTTTAACATGGGAAAAAACAGTGGCTGTAAATCTGAATCTGGTTTTTCTTCTAAAACTTGTCAGAATCTTTCTTTTGAGTAAATATCACAGGCTGACTACAAAAAAATAAAGCCCGAAGGAAACAGAGAATTGAGCTATCAACAAAGTACAAAAAAGTGTACTTTTTACTTTTACAGTGAAAATGTAAAAGACAAATTTCCTGAAATATGTCAAAAAGTATCATCAAAAATGTTAACACAATCACACTGAAACAATTTGTAACATTTTTATAGCCACCTTTCAAGAAGGCCATAGGCATATATAAAGATGACTACAGACCAACTTAAAAATTTGTTTTGTTTTCATGGGTTTTTAAAACTATCATACAGAGATACAGAATTTTTTGTATTGTGAACTTTTGTACTTCTCACAGTGTAATGTTACAGTAAGAAAGATAAAATGTCTGAAATAGAATGAATAAATTCGTCTGTTATGTAAAATGAATGACAATGAGAGTTTGGGTCTCCAAGGACATAGTTTTGTTGGACAAGTGACTAAATGTATAGAATCACCATGAACTGGAGTCATGTGCCTTTTTTCCCAACCACAGGCTCTTTGCCAGAATGAAATGGTATGAGGTCACTAATACCTTTCTGAAAGTGACAGCCATGAAAAGCAGCTGCCTAGAAATGTGGTAAGCCTTGAGAGAGTTTGCATAATTCCCCAGTAGGACCTGCAGTGAACGTGGCTTACTGATCTGATGGAACTAGCACCCTTTCTGATCTAGGGCGTCTCTTCTCAGGGCAAGTGGAAGATTATTTAGAGATGAGGAGAAAGTATTTTTTAATCTTATTTTTCCCAGAAAATTTCCTTGTTAGACATTTTGTTCTTAGGTATGATTTACCCATCAGGTTCATGCGTTTATGTACAAATAGAAAGGGAGGCTGCAGTACTTCACCTGAGGCCATAAGGATGCAGTCTGTTTCCCAATAAGGAGAGCAAAAATATGGAGGAACCTCTGTTCTGTTCCCCCCCTTTACACCACAGTGTTAAAGTTAGTCATTTACTTACTCGCACACAGACTTTCCACGTAAGAATAAAAAGTTCAAAATGTGTGCGATTGAACAGTTAATCACATAATACTTTATAGGAAGTACAAGAGAAGAAAAGCGGATCTCCAGAACAAGAAGGCTCTGTACAGTTGCTAGGGTTGAGAAGACTGAAAGCATCTTTTGTCTTTTTTTTTTTTTTTTGAGGCAAGGTCTCACTATGTGGTCCAGGTTGTTCTTGACCTCGCTATGTAGCTGTGGCTGGCCTCAAACTCATGGCACTCCTTTTGCCTCAGCCTCTGTGCTGGGATTATAGGCATGCACCACCACACCTATCTAACACTATAGGAATAATCTATGGAAAAGAGCCAGGCATGGTAGCGCATGCCTATAATCCCAGCACTTGGGAGGCTGAGGCAGGAGGATCATTGCAAGTTCGAGACCAGCCTGGGCTACAAAGTGAGCTCAAAGCCAACCTGAGCTGCACAGTGAGACCCTGTCTCAAAAAAAAAGAAAAAAAAAATTTAAAAAAGGAAAAGAAATGCACAGAGATACTTTTAATAAGAAACCACTGAGAATTATTCTGGCAACAAAAGATTACATACAGAGTAAGACAGCATTTCATTTCTTTGTAACTGTCTCGATCCCCTGATCTTACACTTTATTTCACAACTAGGAAGCAGTTTTTGGCATCTAGTGAACAGAAATTAGAAATGTGGAACATCCTACAATGTCCAGAACAGCTCCCCCACAATAAATTATCCACCCCAAAATAACAGTTGTGCTGAGGTTGAGAAACCTTAATTGAAACTCCAACCCATTTTTCAAAAGGAATTCTGTTCAATGGGAGAGGAATTCCGGTTGCCTTCTACATCTGACAGGTTGTAGCCTTGTCTGGCCAGGCTTAGAATTTCATCATATTGCTAGTGTTTAAGACATTGGTTGGCTATGTCCCATTCATCTGAAGTAAGCACTAGTCCCATTTGGACCACTTTGTAGAGGGCCAGTAGAGACTCAGGTGAGGGGAATTATTACCACAACCAGGAGGCCTGGATAGAAACACGGAAGGGTCGGGGAGGGAAGCAAATACATGATTCTGTGAGAATAAAGAGCTAGTGGGGAAAGGAAGGAGTTGGATACTAGTGGGATACTTGATTGGGTAAAAAAGAACGTTGTTAGGTTGTAGGCACCATCACCAGGACTGAAGTTCAGCATGAGGCCTTAGGTTTTACAGCTGGGATTTTCACTTCAAAGAACCACCAACTGTGGAAAGATGTAATGTAGTCATGCCATGCAGTCACATGATGAAGCTGGTTGGTGTGATTGTGGGCCAAAGTGTATACATAATAAAACAGTGTACATACTCATCATAACTACTGTGAAAAACAGAAATGCTTCCAAGGAAAACCAGTAAAGAAGGAGGAAAATGAGATAGGGAAGAGAAGGAAAGGAAGCCATGTTGGAGGCTTTATCATGTCAAGTCCCATAATGGGAACTTCCAGGCTTTCAAGGGAGCATTAGAGGCAATGTAGGTCACACTTCAACATCCTCTGACCAGGGGGAAAGGAGCTGGAATGTATCATTTCTTTTTCGTCTGTCAGTGCTGTAAGTCTTGTCCCTCAGGGCCCTTTTCCAGTCAACTCTGGCTCTCTACCACCCAGACAGAGTAGGTTTGGGTGTCTGAAGGGCAAGTCCCTGACAAGCCGGGTTTGTGGATGCAACACATCTGCTACAGCCATAGTCTCAGAGCAGGATACTCAGCAGTCTTAGACCAACACCCACTATGCCAGGGGTTGAAATACAGGGCCTTTGCACTGAGTTACATCCCTAGCCCTTTTTTATTTTGAAACAAGTTCTCACTAAATTGCTTAGGCTGAACTTGAGTTTACAATCCTGCCTCAGCCTTTCAAAATGCTAAGATTACAGATACGTGCCACCATGCCTGGCTTAAAATTTTTTGAGTGCAGAAAACTACTTTTGTTATGTTGTATATAATTAGTTTTATGTAGGTATTTCCTCAGAGCTTGTCAGCTGGAGTTACCTGTATATGACAGCACAACATGGAGTCCAGAATATCAAGTTTATTGCAGCATTTATGACAGTCACTATCAAAAAGTAGTTTGAGGAATTTCTGCTTCTAGCCAGGAAAAACCAGAACCAGATTTAGCCCCCATCCTGAAATAATGTGAAAAATAGACAAGACCATTCCCGTGACATTGAACATCAGACAAAGAGAAACAATGAACTTAGAGAAATAGCAAGCGAGGTGTGCCTTGTGATTGCCCTTGCTGACTGGAAAGTTTCCCAACTAGGAAGCAAGCCAGGGAACCCAGGACCTGGAGTCTTCCCACGCTGAGGAAACCAAGCCAGAGTCTGCAGGTCGGGTTACCAGAGAGGAGAGAATGCACAGAGACTGAACCCACAGAACTGCAGAGGGTTCCCCTTGTTCACTTGAGAGCTGGTCAGTACTTACGTATGAGGAAACCACCTGAAAGAATTAGAAGAAACTATTTCTGGAGTTCACGCAGGACCAGAAATAGGTTCTGCTCTCACCAGAATAGAAAACCTCATTGTTCACGGGGTGCTGCTTACACCACTTGGAAGAGTTTTGCCTCAGTAGTGAGGAAAACTTGGTCTAGATCTAAACACTTCTTTGGTTCTGCCTTACATTTAAAAGCAAGATGGGAAAGGGTTAAGCTCTTTGATACCAATTCCAAAAGCACAGCCCAGAATTTATAGGAATACAAAAATGCCCACACCAAATAAGGTAAAATTCACAATGGAATACTACTAAAAATGCTAATTAATCTTTAGTAACAGCAGATCCGGGGCTGCCTGAGGGTAGGGATGGCTGGGAGGGCAGGAAGTAGAGATTGCAAAGGGACACAAGGAAGCGTGGAGGTGTGATATTTTGTGATCTTGATTGTGGTGATGGTTTTGCATCGTATGCATACACGGAATAAGTCTCGTTCCACACCGGCAGTCTATTGGAAACATTTTAATATTTTTCCACTGAATTGGGAATATTAAGAAATCTGGGCAAGGCTCAGTAGTCCGCAGGCCATCTTGAGTTCTTTGCCCTGCTTTGCCCATGTGGGGCTAAGAAAGACACTGGGATTACAAAGGAAATATCCAACCATAAGGCTCTGAAAAAGGGTCCCTAACCTCTCAGGCCTCAACAGTGGGACCTTTAGACAGGTCGGTTTGGTTTTAGTTTCCACTCCACTCAGTTCAATCCATTAAGTCACAAGTAAGGAAATGGACTTGAAGAGCCAGAGCTGGGTTTGGTGGCACATGCCTGTAATCCCAGCACTTGGGAAGCTGAGGCAGGAGGATTACCATGAGTTCAAGGCCAGCCTAAACTACATAGCAAGATCCTATCTCAAAAAACCAAACCCACGAAGAAAGAAAACAAAAGCCAACAATTCTTGCTGCAGAAGCAAGTGAGAACCCACAAAGAGTTCATGCCACAGCCTAGGCAACAGTCTGGTCCACACTGGATTGCTCAGAGCCCGAATGGAACCTGTCAGGCAATTTATTTTCCCTATGGTACTGGGGATCAAACCTAGGGTCTCACTCATGCTAGGTAAGCACTTTACACTGACCTATATCCCTAACCCTTTTTATTTTATTTTGAATCAGGATTTTGCCCTAATTTACCAGGTTAACCTCAAACTTACAGTCCTCCTGCCTCAGCCTCATGGGTAGCTGAGTTACAGGCCAATGCTGCTGTGCCCATCTATTTCAGCACTTCTTAAGCATCTAACCCAGTGGTGGCAAACCATCAACTCTTTTAGAGACCAAGTGCCCAAACTGCAACTCCAAACCCACTTATTGCAAAGTGCCAACACTGCAATTAAACGTAAATACTAAGGTTTTTGTTTATAAAAAAACAATTGTTGTCCAATGCTCAGCTTCTGGGGAAACGGCTCGTGTTGACAGAGCTCTGCATACCCACTGTAGCATGCATGCCATGGATTCACCACTACTGATCTAAACTGACCCAGGTGCTACCTGCAGTAGCTCTCACTTTTTAGGGAGCAAGATAGGTGAAGATCTGGTTCAGTTCCACAGATATTTATAGAATACCTGTTATGTACCATGTACTGCCCTGAACTTGAGGTACAGTGATGAGCCAGACAAATACGGTCCATGCCTTCATGGGGCTTGTGGCTGAAGGAGAAGTTAGACACTGTACATGTGAGTTGAGCACTTCAAAGAACGTAGTTCTTAAACCCACCACAGTGATGCACACCTGTAATCTCAGCTACTCAGGAGGCTGAGACAGGAGGATTTCAAGTTCAAGGCCAGCTTGGGCAGCAATAGCAAACTCCATCTAAAAAGAAAAAAGACAGAGAATGAAATTGTTGGAGTAGTGAACAATGGCAAAATTCAGCCTCTCCAAGATCAGGAAGCCAGACACTGGACTATAACAATTTGTCAAAAGAAAAGGAAAAGCAGATCACCAGGAATCAGGAAGGAACTGACAGGAAAAATTAGGAGTTATATGGAACTTGGAAAGA